AACAAACATCAAATTAAACACATACCTTGATCTCGCTTCACACAACACCACAAGTAATTTCATCAATTTTTGTTTGAGAGAAATAGAATTTATTTTAGAGATCGGGTATTATTCGTTAGGAAACAACACCATTCTTAATAACAAGCAAATATTAATACCCGATTATAGAAATAAAATTAATCAAATCAATAATTTAAATATATTATACAACGAAATCAAATACAGAGAAATTGAAAAAGAAATCATGTACGAAAATAATATAAATACATTAATTAATAATGAAAAATACGATACGAAAATAGAAACCGTAAACTATAGAATCGTTAAATTAGATAAAAATTATTTATATAATTTACGTAAAAACAGATACAATAAATTAATAAAATGAACATATATTTTATATTATTTATCGTTTTATTTTTCGTCGATATCTCGACAGAAAATTTAACAGATGTACGTTGTATTACAATTAAAAATAATAAAACAATAAACATGTGTTCCAGAACACGTGATGAATTAAACATCGTCATTGATCGATATGACCATAAATTATATACCTTTTTATTAAATTTATTATAACGTGGACTGTTAAATAAAAAATATTCTTTTGACCATATCAACTATCAACTTTTTTTTAAAGGATTTGATTTCTACAGAGAACAAGCAGATGTGAAAACTGTACCAAAAAGTTATAAAGAAATAGGTAAAACAGGTAAAATATGGAAAGAAATCAAAAAACGTAAAAATGAAATTCCCGATAAACTATATAAAAAATTACGCGATACATGTATAGATTCTTATAATTATCTAGACATGAAACTAAAATTGATCGTTGCAACTTCATGGAAAAGTTATACAACCAAATATAATGAATCAAGTATCAGAAAATTGAATTTATTAAATCTTGGGAAAAAGATCTTTTATAAATAAGAAAAAAAAAGTTAAATATCGCATTAGAAAAAAAAGATTATGTTATGGACAATATAATTAAAAACCTAACAGAATATCAAGACGAAAAAATTTACAACTCTCTATTACACGAATGGGAAGAAAAGTCTTTTGTAATATTTGAAGAATTTCGTAATAAAAATATGACATACAAATATAAAGATTATTTAAGTGGAAAAGAAAATAATGATATA